CGGGAAAAAATAGGTATTCGTCCAAACTCGTCCCGTTTGGACCGGAGATAGACTATACGTATTGAACGGTGAACGTATACGGGAATACTCGTATAAACCCGTGCGGGGATGAAGGCGGGGATGAATTTACCCTTACCCCCGCCCCGCCTCACCCCATCCCATCTCCGTTACCCGTTATATATATAAACTCCCAATTAAAACCCTAGGTCTAACTTACTCCTCTTCCTCAATCAACGTCGCACACACACAGATGGTGATCTGAGTATATGTTTCATCTTCAATGCTCAAATCAGACCATCTTGGACGTGTGGCTCAAAGACTCTCAAACAAAACTCATTCTTGGACGAAGCAAACACAGATTCTTCATCTTCAGTTGCATAGGTTTGAAGTCCTGGCTTGCTGGTTTAATAGAGTATTAGAATTCATGATATTTATTTGTTTTTCCACTTCAAATTAGTTCTATTGATATTATTAGATTAATGGGTTTTGTTTTTATTTATGACTGGAAGTTCTTAGTACATATCTGTGGGAAGATATTTGGGTTTGATGTAACATAAATTCCCATTGATAAAAGATAAAGCAACTTAGTAAAGTGCAAGATCTATAGTACAAAATATTTCAGGTTCTCTATCCTGTTTCTCGGACTTCTCTATCTGAGTTTAAGTTCTGATAGTGCTGCATGATTCCTTGTGGGCTGATTCTTGCCATATATTATTTTAATTGTGTTTACTTTCAAAATTGATTTCTCAGTGGTCGGCATAATCAATACTATCGATCTTTTCCCCCTTCAGTTATAGTCATCATTTGTCACATTTTTTATATTGTTAAATGTTTTATTCCGATCATAAGGAAAAAAAAAAAAAAAAGCTATTTCTTATAACCGCGGGTACGGGAATGGGGATGATAGCAAAAAAAAAAAAAGCTATTGGGCTGGTACGGGAGAAGTGGAGATGGAGATGGGGATTATAAATTTACCCTCGAATGAAAATGAGGATGAAAATTATACTCATTAGTAGAAATGGACCGAGGATGAATAAAGATTTTTTAAACGAATATGGGGATGAAGACTATACTCCCGCTCCCACTTTGGTCCATTCTCACGCTAATGACAATAAACTTGATTAATGAAAAAAAAAAAAAAAAAGCATAGCTGGTCGACCATCTGACACACACAGAGTGACCCAAATTACAGACCCACCCATCAATCAAATAAAGCCTCTCTGATTTCTACACTTCACCACGCAACCTCACGTGCGATGTTGCCCAAACGCACGCGTGATGGTCCTTTTTTGACTCTAAAGAGGAACATTGACCTACGGCCCCCGCATGTGTTAGACGGTCCAGATTCGATTAGATGTAACAGCTGATCTGGGCCGTTGATAGGGGACAATGTTGAGAACCGGTTGCCCCCATTTGCAGGGTTGGAAGACCAGAAAAGCCCGACACTCTAAGACCTGATATGTCGGGGAGGAGAGAGAAAAAAAATGCTCACATTTTTCCCAATAATACACTTTTTTCATGTGGTCCAACAATCGGAAAATTCCACGTGGCGTATGATGAGGTGGAGGGACTGTATTGACACGTGTTAAAAAGGCCGGGTTGTGGGGTCCATGGAGTTGTATATACCGACATGAGGCATGTGATGATGGTTAATAAGAGAGAGAAGGGTGCAGGCGTGGCTTCATTGATGGGTGATGGATGGAAAAAGGGGCGTGTGGTGTGGACTTTTAGTATTAGTCGAGATTCGCCATCAATATAATTATTATAATGTATTATATTAATAAATTAATTTTAAATAATATTCTTTTAAAGGAAAAAGTGTTAAAGATGATTTGTATGCCACAAATACAACAAATTGCCAGGTCGGATGCCAAGTCACTATCTCTCATATATGAGAAAGAGGTGGGGACCACATTTTTGTGGCATCATTTTAATTGGAGAGGAAGTGGGCCGGGGATGTACTTTTGTTTTATCCATTTCAATGAAAACTCTCCGTGTCGCTCGCAATAGTTGACTTTGGACTTTGGCCGACTGATTTATGCCTAAAAGTTTCACTATGTTTTCCAGAATGCCACCAAGTCTCTATGGCCATCTTGACAATCAGAGTGGCGTTCTGGAAATTATGGAGGCAAAGTTGGGTATTAAGACTTCTATGTGACCCTGGCCTCACTTGGAGGAGTTATTGTGGGCTGGTGGGCCCAATAGTGAAATTTGGAAATTTGGAAAGCTATAGTCTTGTGGCTGGCAGGGCCCGTAGAATAACAACTATTTCTATCATTTGTGGAAAAAGTTAAAACTTGGAATTAATTATTATAAGAGAAAATTTCAACTACACCACCTCTACTTTATCATATCTTCAAAAATATTCTCTCATTTTCTGAATCTTCATTAACACCCTCTATCAGATTAAAAATATTAACTATAATGCAATTTTACTAAATTGTCTATAATATATTTGAGGACAAACTTTTTCCACACCTCCACTAAATAAACATATCTTCAATGAGATCCCCTCTCTTTTTTAAAATTTTTTACGTATTAAAATTTGATTCGAGCTAATTAAAATTTATTTTTTAGGTATTAAAACTCGAATCGATTAAAAACTATATTTTGTTTAAGTAATAAAATTTGAGCGTCGAATTTTAATCTGTCTAAATTTTAATGCATAAAAATATATAAATTTTAATAAATCGAATCTTAATTGACATGAATTTTAATAAGTAAAAAAATATAAAATTTAATCAACTCGAAGTGAATTTTAATCGGCGCTAATAATTCGAGTAGAGCTTAAATCAACTCTAATTTTAATATGTAAAAAATAAATTTTAATAGGCACAAATTATAATACAAAAAAAGTAAAATTTTAATCAGTTCGAATCGAATTTTAATCGGCTCAAATTTTAATATGTAAAAAAATAAATTTTAATCAACTCTAATTTTAATATGTAGAAAAATAAATTTTAATCGAATTTTATGTAGAGATATTTTTTAGTATTTTTGATATTTTTTTTGTTAGAAATGATGGTTTAATAACAGAGGATGTCAATAATGTTTTTAATAATAGAGGAGCGTTTTTGAAGATATAACAATCTAGAATGGATGTGGTTGAAATTTTCACTTATTATAATTATTTTTTCTGGGGTCTAATATTCATATTAGCCATAATCATCTCTTCAAATTTAGAAATTTGAATTTAATTACACTAGTGTGGTAAAGTGTTATAATCTGAAAGAGGTGACAAATACTAAAAATGAACATTTATAGAGGATGAAACATTATAATTAGCACGTAAAAAATAAAATTATGTATAAAAACATTTATTACATTTACGAATGTGACATTCGAGTACGAAACTAAGGGTGATCAAAGTTAAAACAACTCAATTTAGTTGAACTAGTGTCTCAAGTCCCTACTTGATGTGAGCCCTTATTCAATTTTGAAAAATTAATGAGATTGCAAATGATATCTTATGAATTCTGAAATTATACTCACACTCTGTCTTAAGAAGGTCAAAAGACATTTGTGTCATTAATTCTTGAAAAATGTTATTTAAACTTAATTTAGGAATTTATCTAGTGACCTATTATAATACAAACTATTGGATAGAAAGTGAACTTTATTTAACATTGAAATTTATAATTAATTCAATGACTACATTGAATTGAATCTCTGATTAAATTCCTAAATTAAGTCTTTATAACATTACTTTTAATTCTTTTAGCATTACAAACCAAATACACCGTCAACCTCCTTTTGTGTGTTCATAAAAAAAAAAAACACGAATCCTCTCTCGTAAGATACATGCAATTCTATTGACAAAATAACTTTAAGAGTAATATTATTTAAACTTAAAAATTTGACATAATTTATTTGTCAAAATAACGTAATGTCATTGTAATTTTATTGAAATTATTAGATTAACATTAAGTTTTAATATTTGATGGACCCACAATCAATCTAATAATTATAGTAAATTATGTTAATAAATTAAGTTTTAATAAAATAAGACAATTATTTTTATTCTCTCTCGTTCATGATTTTTTTTTCTTTTTTTCACATTTACTTACATTCCCATGCACGCCCATAGGCACACAAAATGACCCACACATACAAAGACAAAGAAGCCTGCACACACCAACACCTACATACAGGTGTACACATCTACTCCCACATATTTCACATGAAAATTATTCTATATTTCTTATTTATCTATCCAATGGTGGTGGTGAGAATGATGGTGATATGAGTTTATAACATCATCAAACACTCTCTTCCACCTCTACAAGAGGAAAATAAGTTAGTTCGAATTTAATGAGTCTACAATATCAATTCTCCTAAGTTTGAAGATTTTAATCTCAATTATTCTAATTTTAACCTTAACTTTCTACAACGAGGTTCAATGTGAATGAATCTATACCTGACTCTCGTAATTGATAATAATTGTAAATTTTAATTTGAATAATTTCTAAATAGAGTTTGTTAACTTTAATCTATATCAACTTTATATCCGAATGTCTTGTTTATAAATGTGATATTTATTTTTTCTGTGTAAAATTAAATTCTTGGTGATCTGAATATGCATTTTATCTTTTACGAATATTATGATGATAACTGGACCCCTGAAATAGGTCCAATTTCTTGGGTATTATGTACTGAGAGGTCCATTTTCTGCTGTACAAATTTGCAGATGCTATTTCCGACTTGTGTGTTAAAACTTAGAAGAGTAAAAAAGAAGAGGACAAAGCTATCCAAATCCCAAAGGTTCTCTTTTTCAACCTCCGGCTTCCTGTCTGCAAAGTGCCTCCACATGCTCTCTCTCTCCACACACCAGGTTTTAAGTACTCTGTTGCTTTGATAATGGCGTAAAAGATTGTGAAGCCTTCCTTCACAAACTCTATCTCTCTCTCTAAACTGCCATTAACTGTCTTGCTTGTTCTTTGCTTTCTGGGTCTTTTTCAACTCATCATGTTTGTGAAATGTTGTTAAATTTGGAGGTGAAAATGGGAGATAAAGATGGATGGGGTTGGCCACCAACTGGGGCTCCGTTTAATATACAAGCAGAAGATCATTGGAGGCACTTTGATAACTCGGTCAATGCAGTTTCTTTTGGGTTTGTTGCCACTGCCATTCTCATCTCAATGTTCCTTGTCATGGCCATTTTTGAAAGATTTCTCAGACCCACCTCGCCGGCTTTGACCCCGCCGGCTGGCCGGAGGTTTGGAGACATTGAGTCTCAGATGGGTTTCAGTCCAAAGCTTGGTCACCCATCACCAAAAGTGAGTAAAATGCATTCATAATGTAATTAGAATGTGTGATTTCTGAGTTTTTATACCATACAAGGGTGTGAAGTTTGTTATGGTCTTGTGGTTTTGAATGTTTATAGCTAAAATTTTGTTGCTTGCTTTCTTTATCTCTCTTATCTGTTCTTGTTTGGCGTTTGGATGATACTTTTGATATTTGTAGGTAGTGATTATTGTTGTTCTGACATAGAATTTCTGCTTTCCTAGGTTCCTCCTATGTGTGTGTGTGTGTGTGTGTATTTATATGAAGTTTAATGATATTGTGTTTATATTTCTTTATAATTTGGTGTCAGTTGTAACTGGGGACTTCGAACATTCCTTAGGCCTTACTGGAGCCTTAGCTTAGTTTTATGGTCCTTCTATGAAATATCACCAAGAAACCTAACAAATTTATGGCCCTCTCTACTAGAACTAGGACTGGTTGGACCCATAATATGTCTATTTAGTTATTGTTATACTCTTTCTCCGTCTATGGGTGGGTGTGTTGGGGGGAGGGGGGGGGTTGTGCTTGTGGAGAAGCTTAAGATTTTTCCCTCTTTTTGGTGAACAAAAAACTGTGCTTAACTGAAATGAAGCTTACTATTTGCACAATCTAAATGAAATTGTTGTTTCCTAAATTTTTGTTATTTCCATGGTGCTACAAGTTAGACTGAGTCAATATAATGGATAATACTACATTGACCAAAGACAAGTACCAAATAATGTGGCGCTAAATAGGTGCATTAACATTTGCATTTTTACACAATTAAATTGGGACCAAAAGCACCTTCATATCAGCGTGGCAGCGCCTATTATTTGGTCCTTGTTTTTGATCTAATTTTGATCGGTCCGACATTACTATGCATATGTGTGTAAGTGTGCAAATGGCTTTTGTAGCCTATAGGCTTCCACAAAACTTTAGGAATCGGTTCCACTACCTCTGTGGCCTAATCTTTAACTTTGTTATAAACATTGGGTGAATTAATAAAAGAAAATTTTGATAAAAACAGAGCATGGCATTAACTAGTCAAGAATTTATTATAATACAAGCATGTGCATGTTCCCTAAAATTTCGATGTATTATCAAAGGACAGTGTCTCCTTGATTATGATATTTGTCCAATGGCCTGTCCAAGAACCAACTAGCTGTTTTATTGGTCCCATTTGAATGCTTGAGGGACTATATGCCGACATGTAGTTCTTTCATTCTAGAACCCCACCACTGTACATTGTAACCATTTGGCCCATCACTAGTGACCTTTATGATACCCCCCACAGCAAGCACAAAGGTCGGAGACATGAGACCTTTAAATTTCTTTGTTGGCAAGACTTAGTTTATTGTTTTCTTTGCAGCTTTAAATGTATCCAACTAGCTCTATTAAACTAACATCACCATTGACTTATCTATGTGAGTTTGTGTGACCTGTTATGTGTAATTTTTTTAATCTATGTCTAGATAAATATTAGTTTGTTGTTTGATGGGGATGAAATTTATATCTAGGGATTAATTATTTTGAAGTTTTTGATGAGGTGCATACGGGAATGTATAGGATGGTTTACTATGTAGCTATTTCAATTTAAGTAAACTAATATTTTTTCCTCGAATGTGGTTTTAAACTAGTTATACCTTACCTCCCTACAATTTGAACACCTACACTTGACACTCTTGTCATCTTATGGTTTCGGATCAAAACGTCACGTTAGAATTTCTGTCAAAATTGATTGTCAAAATCAAAAGTCAGAATTATGAATAAGATGCCATGTTAAAATGACTTTAATAGTCGTAAACATGATATATCTCTTCTTTTCTTTCTCACTAAAAACCCCATATTTGCGTCCCTTTTACTTGGCATTTGAAGCATTTTCCAATTTGTAAACCTATAAAATTTATAGCACAAAGGGCGTTATTTTATTTTTGTACTAACTTGGTAACCCCATCAGTTGTTATTCTCTGGAACTAAGTTTCAAAGGGATAAAGTATAGGTTCGTTAAATATAGGATGGTAAACATCACTGGTTTAAATCATAAGAGTGTAAAAAATATTTTATCTTTTGACAAAGGGATGAAGTGTAGGGCACATCACGCTAGACAGCCTCATACAAGTGTGTAGTCAAGGTTTAAAACACAAGACATTATTCATTCAAGGGATAGTGACAATAATATGAGGGACATTGCTTTACTAGTTACCCAGTACTCTGAAACTTCTTAAAATACAAATGGGTCACCAACCATTCTGACCTTGCTTTTCAATTTAAACTCCTGATGAAGTGCAACAATCCCCAAAGGAGGTTTTAGTCTTTATGACCCACTTGGTAGTTCGGTCTTTGCGAGGAAACCTAAAAAGGATTGATTTTTGAAAATTAAACTACCTTGAGGAGATATTAAAATGATGAAACACTTGTCGTTCACAGTGTAACCAGGCCATCCAATTGAATGTCTGTCCCCTATGGTCATCCTAGAATTTCCGTATGATTGCGTGCGAGTGCATATTTGGTATATTATATGAGTTAATATCAACATTAACTACAAATTTCC